TCCACTTGTTCTCTCGCCAGGCGTATCACTCACGCTTGAATCCTTAACACTCCATGTCACCGCTACTGGATACGGTGGAGTCGTCCTCCCAGCTCGCGTCCGAGCCGTCATTCTCACTGCCGTTGCTGTAGGCTTCCTCTAAGAGTCGCTTCTTCGACGCGCGCGCAGCCTGGCGCCGATCCATTGATGCTGCTGCTAATCTCCAAATGGAGTTCTCCCCATATATGAGTGGCGCGAAAGCTCCGTATACGGGTATACTAATATAAGACTCAAAATTCTCTCGACAATTATTTTTTTTGCATTTTTTGTCTGGCATAATAACGACTCTGATATTTAAAAGTCCTACTCCAAGAAACAAATCCAGTGAGACCTAGTGCTGCTAGTACTGACAATCGTTTGCCTCTACTAAGCGGCAATCAAACCACGCTTTGTATTTCGTTTTGACCATGCATACCGACGGTAAGCATGGCGACCATCTTTCGACGTCTCGGTAATGAAGAGAAGTTTCTCGGGATACGAATATATAGCCTCCAATTTGACCTTGTACGCGAGCACTTCATGTGGAAGAGACTTTTAGTTAATACCTTTCTCGACATATTCATATCAAAATGCAAGGCTCTTCATATAGTACTCAGCGACCCGACACATGTTTCACATTAGGAAATGTGTCTCGAATGAACTGTTGGGGTTCCTCTAGATAAACCGTGGGGTGAGATTTTACGTTCTTTTGAACTAGAGCTACTACATCCCACGGCCAACGCGACGAGCGGCTTGGTTCCTTAGCAGACCTTACAGCTTCCACTACACCGTCAGTCAAGAATAGATTATACCAGCGACGTAGCGCTCGCTCGTTTGGCCCAAATATAGCACTAATGTACTGCATGCAAATACCGTACACATGAATGAGAAAGATAGCGCGCCAGCGAAAATCGTGAGAGTACATGCTAAACTTGTGCTTGATAAAAGGCTTCTGGAAACAGAAGGAAAGGGTGAAGTTTGCCAGGTTAAGTGATCCACTCGATTTCGGTGTCCGGCTGTTAACATCTCGTTTTAAAATATACCATTGAAACGAGACATTGAAACCTGCACGTGGGCAGATGAAGAGATTCAGATGGAATTAAAAAAGACGCGCACGAATTGCCACTTTGAAACGGTAATTGAGTACATTTGTCATAAATCGAGCTTCAAACCCAGGAACGACGTAGGTATTCTGGTCGCAGCTGTTTTTATATCGAGCTCAACGATTTTTTAATTCAAGCAAAACGATAGGGGAAAAGGACAAATGCATTGCAAAGCACAATAAGCAAACAAACAAAAATATCCCTTAAGTAAAGCAATGCCATCAGCTAATGATTGGCCTCAGACGATGGTACGTGTCACACACTTCATGTAAGCTACATGATGTAGCCAGAGGTACACTTCGTTTCGGTATTACACAGACGGGCGGAATCCAACAGCCGGACATATTCCAACAGCCATTTCAAGTTAGCCAATCATGTTGTCTAACCAAATCATTTTTACCTAATCAAATACTAAAACGAAATGCGCTAAATCACCACCACTCACTGCTTAATTTCTCCATGGAAGCGGAGAGCGACACCACTCCAGATGAACCACACACACCCCTCGCTTACCTCGAGATTGATGCGTCACCTCGAATAGCACGACGGAAACACTAATCTTTTGTATTAAGTGTGCAGTATTAAAAGGAGCTG